AAGATTTGTGAAAAAGCCCTTTGTTTTTTTTTTTTTTTTTTTGTGCGTGTCTGTTTCAGGGCTCAAATCCAGCAAGTGGTGGGATGTCCAACCGAGACTCCCTGGGTTTTGGGGAACTGATTCCCCACGATGTGGTTGAGATCTTTGCCCAAGAGAAGCATCATAAAAAGGGGAGGAAAAAGCGCAGTCACTCCCTGGGCCGGGCCTTGGGTTGGCTAAAGGGCAAGAAGAGGAAGAATCTCGACGCCAATGCGCAGAACCCCGGTCTCGGCCCCGCGTTGGACTTGGCTTTGGACGGACACGTGGCCGCGCATCTCGGCGGGAACAAGGGAGGACACAAGTCAGGAAGACAGACCCAAGGAAACAGTCATGGTAAGAAGCCCTCGCAACTTCTATCATTCGCTTTTTGCAAGCAAGTTTTGGCCTCGTCTTTATGCAATTTGATTTTCATCTTGAACCATGAAGTTGAAGCACAACCTCCAGAGCAGAACACAATTGATTCTGAGACGCTGGTTGACTGAATGTAAGATTTTAACAAAACACAATGTGACAATGGTGCAATGCAAAAGGGATTCGTGCTGCGGATATGCTTCATGAAAGTCGCTGAAGTGACGAGAGTAAACCACAAGTAAATCAAGTATTTTCCCTCAAAGTTGAGAATGAGTTTCTCAACGTAACCGGTGTACATTCTTCTCGCGTTCGTCTTCTCGTGTAAGCCCTTGTTTTGGCTTGTCCTTGTCAACAACAAGCCAAAGAAAAAGCACAACACTCGTATGGCGTAAATTCATATCGAGGGCAGCTCGAATTTCAAAGTGCAACTTTTTAGGCTTATTTTTTTTCCCCCCCCAAATTTGATTTGAATGAATGTGTACATTTAAAACAAAATCAGTCTTGAAAGCTGCCCGAGACTGTTCTAATGTAGTCAGCCATTTTTTGTTGTTTTTTTTTAGTTCAGCCCTTCTATGATGTAATACAAATTTGGAAGCTTTTTTTTCCTGGCTCATTTGAATTTGGGCTGAAGATTTGTTCATGTCCCGGGAATGTACCTCAATCATGCAAAGTTCAATAGCTGCCTGCCAATGTTGGCATTCCAGAACACTTTGAATGCATCACCACATACAGTTTGGAATATCTTCGGAAGGCAATTGTGTTCACGCACATATATAAATCGATTCGAGTTTTGTGTTGACACAACGCAATACTTAGAAATGTTGCAACTCCACCGCAACATTTGCAATAAGTTAAAGGAAACCTGTGGAATATCTTGCTCCTTCGCCCCGGGCCTACATGTTTGTTCGCTGGAAGACTGTTTGAAGAGGCTGACTTCCTCCTCACCGGCTGACCTTTCGGTCTGCTTTCTTTTCTGTTGTCTCTCCCGTTCTGTGATACAATCACCGACTTACCTGGTGTGTTTCACCACCGAGTGCTGCACTCAGACTCTGTGAATCAGGGCTTTTACAGACATCAGGTCACCCTCGCACAGCCGTCGGAAGGCGGTTTAAACACCCACACGCTTTGAACGGCGTAAGGTATTCACACTCACCTGCAAAAAAGTGACTTTTCCCAGAGGTGCGCTCAGGAGTTCTTGTCTGAGCTTGCACATGCCTGCGACACAACCCCAAACCAGTTTTCTCTTTGCAGTCTGCGCAACCAGTTGCGAACTGCACATTCCGTTTTGTCGACTGCAAAATGGCAGACTTTAAGTCTTTGCTAAATTTAACACGGTCATTACTCAAACGTCTTTGTCACAGGTATAATCAGAAGAGAAAATATCAGACACAGAGGCAGTACTTTTTGCAAATGAGGCAGCTCTCGCAAGAGCACAAAAGTACTGCTTGTTTGGAGCCGTTTTTATCCACGGTCTTCTGGCAACAAGCACTCTTGTAGTTTTGCCTGATTACACTCCAGACGAGCGAGAGTCCGCCCGCTACGCTCACTGCAACGTCTCAAAGTGTGAACCCAAAACCTGAGTAGGGTGGGTGTCAGGGGATTTCCACAAAGTCCAAAATAATGTCGGCTCACACAGATGTTTCATTTCCACAACTGTTAAATAAGAACACACGTCCAGACATAACACTACTTAAAAATCGAGAATGGAAACCTAGAATACGTGGCTTGTTGTTTGTCTTTTCTAAGATTGATATCTTTGTCAAGGTTGTTGAGAGACTGGTTCGAATTCGAATTTACTTGTGGATCTAATAATGTGTCTGGCGAGTGCAGGCACCTCGTTTTGCTGTATATAGTGCTCCGTGTGGTTCATTGCGGCCGCAAGAAAAAACTGAAGGTTTTGGAAAAAAAAAGTCAACTCGGCTGGAGATAAGGAGATATCGTTTTGCAAGGACAGCTTGCAGGTCAACCATGCAAGCAGGGCCGAGTTTATTCCCTTGTCTGCACAATTGACTGCCAAAATGTATTGTGTAAATGAAGCATGTAGAGTTTCTCTTAGTTTGCCCTTTTCTTGTTGACGTCATTACCAGAGAGGATTTGTCTGTGACTCCTTCATGCATTTTGCTTTACATACAATAAAACCTCTCAAGTCAGCCGGAATCAATTCTGTGATTGATTTCCAAGTTGCTCTTCTTTGGAAAACAATTTTGTTATCGTAAACAATGCAAACACAACAGCAAAGAAGGAAAACCACGAGGGGTGTGCATCTTTCCAATGAAAAAAACAGATTCAGCACATATCTCACGATACTCGGGGTGCGATACGATTCAAGGACGGGACATTTTAGAGCGGAACGCCTCGGGTTCGATTTGGTGAAATTACAGATCAATTAGATAAGGTATGGCTCACTTTGAGAGGATGTTGTGGTTCGTTTCATGTTGAAAGTAGACCACCAATTTACTGTAGGAATGCCAGTACCATAAATTTGTCAAAAGACGATTTGATACGAACCTTAACACGCGGGGTGCAATACGATGGAAGGACGGCATATTTTTAAAGTAGAACGATTCGGTTAGTTTGTGTTTTCCAATTCAAATTGTTTTTGGGGGCGGCCCGGTGGTCGACTGGTTAGTGCGCCAGCCTCACAGTGCAGAGGTGCAGCGTTTGATTCGGGCTCCGGCCTTGCTGTGTAGAGTTTGCATGTTCGCCCCGTGCCTGGGTGGGTTTTCTCTGGGCACTCCGGTTTCCTCCCACATTCCAAAAACATGCGTGGCATGTTAATGGAACACTCAAAATTGTCCCGAGGTGTGAGCACAGATGGTTGTATGTCTCTGTGTGCCCTGCGATTGGTTGGCAACCGGTTCAGGGTGTCCCCCCCCCACTGCCCGAAGACGGCTGGGATAGGCTCAGCATGCCCGGCGAACCCTTGTGTGGATAAGCGGATCAGAAAATGGCCGGATGGAATTTGTTTTTAGTTCCACCTCTAAAAACTATTACTGCAAGACTGGCAGATGCGTAGAGGAGAGAGAAGAGGAAAGATGTCGTTTGTTGTCAAGTTTATTTGATTACTACCCCATTATGCTGTCCGCTATTTATGTTATTATACGTTCGCTAAAATTAATTTGTGTAGTTATGTTATTTCTTATTTTGCTGATAATGTGCCGAGCAGCCTAACCCATTTCCAGTTTCATTTGTGATCATTACACTGTTATGTCCCTGCGGACTGGCGCAACCCTTAGCAATGAGCAGTTTGTGTACAAAAAGTTGCTATTGGCAACAAGCACAGTCAACTCCCTTCTGTGTGTTTTCTGTGAGTAACCTTCAGGAGCAGGACACGCTGGACTGTAGCACGCAGGCACAGAGAATTAGATCCCCCCCCCACATGAGCTTGTGATGATGATGCGTACCGATGCCAGAAAGGGGCCTCCTGGTCACTCAATGCCTGGCACCGAGCCAGTTCATTAAAAAGCTGTGCCAGCACTGTTACACTGACGGAGGAACAAGAGGTTTTGTTTTTCCTGACCTCTCACAATTCCTCCTCTTTGAGAAACTGGCACCCACTAAGGATCATTATGTGGCAACGACACCAACACCCGAGAATCACTTTGGTTACAGCCTTCATGTTACAATTACAACCACAGAGAGCGAAATAAGATTTGTCAATTTCCAGGGACTTTTGCCACTTCATTCATGACACAAGATACAAATCTGACTGTTTACCCTTTTATTCTTTGCAAAAAAACTAGACCCCCGCCCCCTTGCCCCCAATGGAAGTTATGTTTTTTATCGCATGCTTGTTAATTAGCATCAGGATGAGGCATGAATGACTTCACCAATTTCCTCAAGTCTTTTCGGAGTGGATGGAATGAAACACAAATCATTTATATCACTACACTTTCAAACTGCTCCTGAAAATAAAGTGCGAAAGTTATTTTGTGCTTTTATTATTCGTTATTATTAGTATTATGCATACTACTTTAACGTTGAGGTAGGTCCAGTCTTGTTTGGACATCCTGGTTTTATGCCAACAGAGGGGGAATATTGGCTGAGTTGAAATCATATTGATACATTTCATATGCACTTGTGCAGACGCAACAAATTATTGAGAAAGGTTATGCCAAACAAATTTGCCTCTGAGTTGTTATGCTTTCGGTGGTAGCACTCGGTGTCGCAAGGGTTTGTGACCCCTGATCTAGATGATGCATCCAAAGTTGTCTGACCTTTCACGTTTTTTCGGAATGTTTTTTTTTTCTTTTTCTGTAAACAAGATCGGTGGAATTTGAACAGCACAGTGGCTGGGCTGGAGTGATAGATAACCTCTGACCTTTTGGATCTTTTAGTCTTATTGGCATCGTCGTCCTTGCTAACCAACTTGTGTATGCATTTCAACTTCAATGAAGTTGAAATGAATCAGATTCTTTTGTGCAAGGAAGCAGTTTCATGAATAGTTAGAAGGAGCAATCACGTTAATTATATAATTGTACATCGCACATGTGTATGCGGCTATGTGCGACGGAGCGTGGTGTCGACTGTTTGGAAAGTGGATTATTTCTAGCTCTGTTGAGTTCTCTTGTAAACAGTGGTAGTTATCGCGAAGAAGTGGCTGTCACATTAACTATATAGGTACTGTACACACACGTAATTTTGCTTGCATGCACACACAGACACACCTGTGCATGACCAAACTTGTAGTGGCATTTTTTTTTTTTTATAAACTTCATTTCCTGTCATTTTATGTATTTATATTATGCATGATGCTCGTTATGAATGACTGGCAACGAGCGGTTTCCTTCCAGTAATTGCATGACACATGTGCGTGCATGTGCATGAACCGTCGCAAACAGTCAAGCGCTCCTCTTGTAAGTGCGTCAGAGACCGGGAAGTTTGCTGATTATGAGTGGACATCAAAATATCAAAACTAGTCAAATGGACCGAAGATGTCATTTGGGCCCAAGCACAGTTCAGATGAGGCAAGCTGATGATGG